CCCCGCCCCACCGGCCGCTGACTTGCCCGCGCCATAGGTGACAGTGGCCCAGGGCTGGGGCGCTGGGTCCCCGCGCGCCACGCCCCCACCAGCCAGCCTGTCCCGCGGAGGCACGCCCACTCCCGCCTCTCCGCCTCGACCCCCTCGGGGGGACCAGGCGGGGCCCATATCTTCGCCTGCGTCGCCGCCATCGTCGGTGCGGCGTACCTAGCTCTGCGGAGGACAGGCCTTGCGCCAAGAAGGACCCTGGTGGACTTCTGAGGTGGCCAGAGCCCCGCCGCGGCCCCCTGCCCCTGCCCCTGGTTTTTGTCCGTCCATTGCCCCCACAGACGCGCTCACCCGGTGGCACGTCCTCCCATCCCCATCCGGCCCCCTTCTCACCCTACCGCGCGCCCCTGGCTTCTCGGATCTCCGAGCCTTGCACGTCTCACCCACCGGGCTCCTGAGCACCCATCTGGGGCCTCTCAGCGCCCCCTCTAGCCCTGCTGCTCCAGACACCTCCGTCTAAGTGCTCCAGCCTCCCAGCCCCTCATGCGTTGCTTCCGTGGGGCTACCCCCGCGTTGCACCCGTTTCCACACACACTTCTCTGATCCCCCAAACATATCCCTCTGAGCCTCACACAATGCCTTCGAGACTGCTGCTGCCTGTCCCATGCCCTTGGGGGTCACTTGTAACTCCAAGGCCCTGTCCCCATTGCCCCCCCCTTCCAAGCCCATACACCTCAGGCTGCAGACCACCCTTGCAGGCTCCAAACGTTGTGTTCTCTCAGAGCAAACACCCAGTGTTACCCTGCCTGGGCCTGGCCCCACCCGGCATGCTGCAGGCAGCTCCTGAGGCCTGCTTGTGCCCACCCACCCCACAGCTGTTGCCACATTTGCTTCCCCAACTCCTGGACAGCCTTGACTTTCTGACCTCCCCTCTCCAGCTTGCCTGTTCTCTTTTCCTGTGTCTCAGGTGCCGGGATGGTGGGGGAGCTCCGCTTCAGGGAATTCAGGGTGCCTCTGGGCCCCGGCTTGCATGCCTACCCTGATGAGCTGATCCGCCAGCGAGTGGGCCACGATGGGCATCTGGAGTACCAGATCCGCTGGCTCATCCTTAGGCGTGGGGATGACGGCGATGTGGGCAGCGGCCAGGTGGACTGCAAGGCCGAGCACATCCTGCTGTGGATGTCCAACGACGAGATCTATGCCAACTGCCACAAGATGCTGGGCGAGGACGGCCAGGTGATCGGGCCCTCCCAGGAGTCTGCAGGGGAGACTGGGGCCCTGGACAAAGCTGTGCTGGGCGAGATGGAAACCGACGTGAAGTCCCTGATTCAGAGGGCCCTGCGGCAGCTGGAGGAATGTGTGGGCACTACCCCTCCAGCTGCTCTGCTTCACACTGTCCACGTGCTCAGCGCCTACGCCAGCATCGAGCCCCTCACTGGCGTCTTCAGAGACCCGCAGGTTCTCAGCTTGCTCATGCACATGCTGAGCAGCCCCGACTATCAGATCCGCTGGAGCGCGGGCCGGATGATACAAGCCCTGTCCTCCCATGATGCCGGTGAGGGCCAGCGTGGGTAGGAAGGGAGCACAGGAGAGGGGCTGGGTTGGCTCAGGGACTCAGCACACTGCAGGGAGCCTCTGACCTCGCCAGTAAATGTTGCCCTTCTCTTAGGGTTGGAGGGCAAGGAGGCAGGGGTGGGAACTGGGTGGTGGGGCACCTTTGCAAAAAGCGGAAAGACCAAATTAAGAACCTTATATTGACTTTCTCTGCAGAGAAACAGTTTAGACAATTGCAGATCATGTGTGCGCGCGTGTGTGTGTGAGTGTGAATATAATAAATGTTAGCATTTTTTTTTGAGAGGTTTTCACTATAGGGTGCGTGCACTTGCCAGACAGACAGAGAAAGAGACATAGAGACAGAAAGCGAGAAATCACCCCCCAGGGGGATGGTCACGCCGCAATCCCTTCTCTTCCATTCTCCTCTTGGGATCTTGGGCACGCACGCACACGCGCCCGGTGTGAGTTTTAAGCCACCAGGTCCAGGACGCGAACCGTGGTCGACTACGTGGGAGTCCAGCAACATAGCCATTACGCTAACTGCTGGTTCCCAGTGTTAGCATTTTTTATAAAGAATTATTTTACTTACTTTATTTACTTATTTTTTTAATTTGACCAGAGATGGACAGAAAGAGAGAAAGAAGGAAAGTGAGAAAGCAAGCCACTAGGTCCAGGACTCGACCCACGGTCGGCCATGTGGGATCCAGCACCCTTAACCACCACACCACCTACTGGCCCCAGCAAATGTTACCTTTTGAGGCAAATCACATAGCTCTGTTCCCTCTGTGATGGCAAAAGGTTGGATTGAGAGAGAGCAAAGGGTCCAGGCAAGAATCCTGGATAGAGTGAGATTAGGGAGCAGTTACTGACTGGGGTGTGGGTTACAGAGACGCGGACCCAGATCCTTCTGTCACTGAGCCAGCAAGAGGCCATTGAGAAACACCTGGATTTTGACAGCCGCTGCGCGCTGCTAGCGTTGTTTGCACAGGCCACGCTCGCGGAACATCCCATGTCTTTTGAGGGCATTCAGCTGCCACAGGTATTCTGGAAGCAGGATGGGGGAACCGGAACCAGGTCTGCACCTGTCTCCAGAGGGTGGTGTGGTTGGAGGGCCAAAGCTGAGACAAGGTGGGTAGAGGACAGAAGTCATACCCCACAGGTCCCAGGAAGGCTGCTCTTCTGCCTGGTGAAGCACTATTTGAACGTCACCTCCCTCCTGGATCAGCTGAATGACCATGCTGCGGAGCCAGGAGCCCAGAACAGCTCTTCCCCAGAAGAGTCTAGTGGGGAGAGGGGTCGATTGGAGCTGGAGTTCAGTATGGCCATGGGCACCCTGATCTCGGAGCTTGTGCAGGCCATGCGCTGGGATCGGGCCTCCAGCAGACCAGGGAGCTTGGCACGATCCCCTTGTTCCATCTTCCAGCCTCAGCCTGCAGATGCAGGCCCAGGGCTCCCGCCTGCTCAGGCCCAGCTCTCCCTCAGGAGGTCGAGGCGGTTTCGCCCTCGCTCTGAGTTTGCTAGTGGCAATACCTACGCCTTATACGTGCGGGACATGCTGCAGCCAGGCATGCGAGTGCGGATGCTGGATGATTACGAGGAGATCAGTGCTGGGGACCAGGGGGAGTTCCGGCAGAGCAACAGCGGTGTGCCCCCCGTGCAGGTGAGTGACATGCAGTGGTGGGCCTAGGTGGGGCTTCTACACTGGGCGGCTCTGGCAGACCATCCAGGGAGAAAACCCTCAGTGAGATTGGAACGGTAGGAGGGTCAGCGATTGAGAGGGGCCATGGGAAGCCTGAGACTATCTATTGGGGAGGCTGCAAGATGAAGACTTGCCTCCAGGGAGAAAGTGCTAGAGCAAATCTGCCCCAAAGGTTGGGCCGGGGAGGTGAGACGAGGTCAGGAGGCAGCGTAAGGACATAAACCATCAGGGTTGGGTATGAGGAGAGGCAGTCATCCCAGGAAGGAGAGGGCACCCTCTGTGTGTGTCCTTGTTCTCCATATGCTATTTGGAGGCTTTTCTGAATTCGGCCAGGTGGCCGCCCTGAAAGCTGTCAGTCCCCATCACAGGGCCACAGCCAGCCTTTAGCACACCCACTCTTCCCCTTCCTTCTTTGCTCCCTCTGCTCCAGGTGCTGTGGGAGTCAACAGGTCGCACCTATTGGGTGCACTGGCACATGCTGGAGATCCTAGGCTTTGAGGAAGACATCGAGGGTGTGGTGGAGGCTGATGAATACCAGAAGGCAGGAGGCAGTGGAGCTCTGGGTGGAGGTGAGCTCTGAGAGGAAGCAGCGGGCAGCTCTGAGCGGGGAGCAGGGGGCTGGCTGGCAGGGCAGTGATCTCCCTGTGGTCTTGCAGCTCTGCCCTCCTGGCGCTGGAAGCCCATGACAGAACTCTACGCCATGCCCTACGTGCCACCTGAGGATGAGGACACAGAGGAGAGTGAACACCTGACCCAGGCCGAGTGGTGGGAGCTCCTCTTCTTCATCAAG